CGCAGGCACCGCCTCTGGCCCCCTGCCCCGCAGCCAGGACAGCCCCCAGCGCCGGGCTGGGCCGTCACCAGCACCACGCAAACCACGTCCACTGCCGGCTGGATTGCCCGCAGATCAGCTAAAGGAGTTGGTATTCTACAAACTGCTAGAAGAAGTAAAATTAAACTTTATTTAAAAATTCTTCTAATATAGAAAACGAGAGGAAGCAAAGGCAAAGCAGTGCCCCCGGTTCCATCTCATCGCGTGAGTTACCGTATTTACAGCTTCAGGAAGGAGCGCTGGCAGAAGGTACGTGTCCTGCTACTTACGGAGAACTACAAACACTGAACAATACATCGTACAAACCCGACAGGACATTCAGAGGTTCGCTGCGGGAAACAATTAAATACACTCGCAAAGACAGACAGTAGAAGAGCACCGACGGGTGTTGGCTCATCCTGATTTCTCCAAGTGTTCCGTACAGCCTAAACTCCCGACGTGATTTCTTTCCCACTCGCTTCTCGCCGCTGTGGCCAGAACTGCCGTACGTTACGGAAAGGGGTTTATTCATGATTTGGAGAGGTCAGTAGTCTCTCAAGTGAAATGGGACATTACTGAGCTCCTCCTGTCATCATTCTGGAGAATTTGGAAAGGCTGAATAAAATTAAAGCAGTGAAGTACCACAGAACTGAACTCCACGCATCCCGCGGCAGCGCAGCGACTTACGGCCCTAGCCTTTACTCAATCTCAATCTTTGCTCGCGATGTCCCAGTGAGCGCACGTGTGGGATGACAGGATCAAGTTCATAATTTTTATTTATTTTTTTTAAATTCCCCAACCGCCAGATTGATTTAGATTTCCCGTCTACGTGGGCCTTTCTGATGTTCACACTGTAGGAAGTGAAATACAACAGGCAAACGCTTCAGACTGCATTCTCTATACATACATAAGTTTTTACACTATCTACAAAACAGTGATTAGATGCTTCTGTGTAAGTTCCTGCTACTCATTTAAAAATACTAGAGAAAAAACTGTACACTTCTCTAAATTACATCTTTAGAAGAATAATTTTTTTTTTAGAAGTTCATAAAAGACTTCGTGTTTGTTTCTATAGAGAATTAAATGATCGGACAAGAAAGATTAAAAATATGTTGTTCAAATCAAGTCAGACAGACCAAGCACTTAACAGAACATTTGTAAACTGTAAACTTCTATTTTTTCTGTTCAACTTTACATACGCGTTCGAAAATTAGGAAGAACTTCAGTTATGAGGTCCTTGTTTTAATCTCTGCTACATACAAAAGATACTGGAAAGCAAAAACTATTAAATAATTTAATATACAAGTGTAGTTAAAAAGCACTGTACATTGTAACAAATGTACATTGGATTTCAGAGATAGAAAAATCACCGAGTTATTTTCAAATTTACATGATTTTTGAAATTCTGTGAGGGGAAGAGGACTCCGGTAGCGGAGCAGAGTTCTGAACGCCCCAGGGCCGTGGGCGAGCGGCACCGCGTGCTGCCAGGCACAAAAGCAAAGCCCCGGTGAAGCCGGCTTGTCACAGGCGGGGCAATCCCGGGTTGTTCCTCCTGACATTACAAGTCCAGCGACCACGTTTAGCAAACGGTTCCTGTGAAAACCTGAGCGCGCTTACATCGGGAGCAAGCAGGCAGCCTTTCCCTCAAGTACTTCCTTTCCTCCCGAGAGGAGACGGCAAGGGATTTGAACTACAAAGCAGCCTGGTTCGAGCACAAGTACCACAACGCCAAGCCAGACAATTGCCACTGCAAATTGCTCTCCCCTAACGCAGTCTTCGGCTCTGCGGGTCTCCGAGCTGGAAGATGAGGTCAGGAGATGGAGCTACCTGAACGGGCACCAGTGGGCATCTTGCTTGCTGCAAAATGCTTTCCTCAAGCTCTGCCCAAACCACAGCTCTCTGGAGTTGGGATTTTTAAATACTGCCTTATAGAAGCAGCACTTTTTTGGCCAACATTTAAAGTGATCTATTATAGTTGCCACGGGCATGTAATCAGTTAAATAACAGCCTTGGACTGGCTGACAAGAGACAAAAGAGAGAATGTTTGGGATACCTGAATGGGACTCCAGCAGGTTTTAAAGTCAGTCTTTTTCGGTCCCTAGTCCTTCCTCGGCTGCTAAGAGCACTGTCAAGAAAAATGCCATTGCATTTAGGTGCTTAAAAACCAGGTACTGAGTTCTTGCAACTCAGTGACTCGGGGAGGGAACAGCCAGAGAGCAATGCTGCTTCCCGTACACACACACAAAAAAAGGAAAGACTTAAAGGCATCGTGGGGTACTGCTATTCCCCAGGTCGGACCTAGCTGATACCCGGTGGCAGCTGTGGAGCTGACAGAGTTGTTCTGTCTCTACCAGGGGCCTGCACTGGAGCGAGCACGGAGCCACCTCCTCTCGCCTGGAACCAGGGCCACACGGGCAGTGCGCTGCCACCGAGGTGCTGGGGTGGGGACGGGCTCCTGCGAGCCGGACAGCCCCACGGGAATGCTGGCTGGTGGCTCAAAGCCTTGGAGGGACGGGAGACCAGGTGGCAGACACGGAACACGATCTCAACGAGCAAGCGGTGCAGAACAAGGTCTGGCTGCATGGATTCGCCCTGTCTTTGGTACCTCCAAATAGCCTGTATGCTAACTCACAGAATTCTTTCCTATTTTATGAGTTCTAAGGGAGACTTTAAAACAGCACTGATTATTTTCTGGCAAACCCAGCAATAAGACTCTCTCCCTATACCCTTACCAAGGCTGTGTTTTCCCCATTGGAGATTTAACAAGGCCTGAGATACACATGGCTTCTGCAAGAGTAAATGTCTGAGAACAGGAGCTAAATCGGCATCACGTGTCCAGTGGAGGAAACATAAAATCCTATTTTGGTAACTGGACAAGCACTTGTCCCCTTAATATCATTCAGTGGTAAACCTGAGGGGTTTGAATCACAACAAGGAAGCATCTCTGCGAGCCGTTGCCAGATGGGGGACAAGACTTTGGAAAAGAATGACTGTTGGGGGTTGGACTGGATGATCTTTAAGGTCCCTTCTGTGCCTGAGGACAGATTTCACGGTATGCCTTCTACAATAAAGTCCTAAAGGTTACTGCCTCCAAACCACTCTCCTCCTCCCTCAGAAAAAGCAGCAAATCACAGAAAATGCTACACAAGTAATTTTTCTTGCAGATTCCTTTTCCCTCCCCCTTTTAGGTTGGGAGATAAATATGCAGAGCTACCAAGAATGCAAACCACCTTTATTCAACCCCGTGAACCTTGCAAGCTTTACATGGCGCTACGACACGCTGGCACGGATCTGTGCTAAAAAGCTGCCTTTGCTTCACGGCATTAACAACTCTCATACTGTTTTCTGCAGAACAAACTTGGGCCTCGTCTCTCCCGTTTGGAGACGGCTGCAGAGGCACAGGCAAATGCAGTGAGAACTCACAGCTGAAGAGTTCAACAAACTGAGATAGAACAGGAAAGCTAACATGGGAAAGTTTGGAAACATCAAGCTTTGGCCCAGGCCTCTGGCTTGTATTGGATCTGGGGTTTAACCACTTAACTTTAACTCTGGCTTCAACCACTTGTAAAAATCATTAAGGCACAGATGCTGCCTTCCTTTGGTGAGGCTGCAGCAAAGATGCAAAGCGCTGTTTCCCAGTTGCTCGGCCCACGCAGGGACCGGGCAGCAGGACAAGAACCTTCCTCCTTCCGAACAAATGACGAGAAAGTAGCAGAGATGGAGAGAGCTGTGGTTCTGCCCTAGCCTGTGCGGGATGGGACAGCAGTGCAGGGAGATGGGAGGAAGACCCTCATGGGGACGACGCGGTGGCACGTTGTCACGTGCTCGTGAATGCAGGAGGTGGAACCTGCTCCTCTGAGGACGCCACTCGGCCTGGAGGCCACCCCGAGGATGCCAGCACGCCCCCGGCTGCAAACACCCTGCCCGTCAGAACTCTGGTCTCGCCACTCGCATCCTTACCTTCGCTGCAAGGCCACCAACAGCACTGGCAAGGGCTTGCAGACAACAAGAGGGAAAGAATATTATCTCAGAAACTAGATTTAGAACTTTAGGGCACCCTACAATCAATCATTATTTAATCCAATTATTCCCCGGAACGGAAGGGTGCAGAGCACATTAGAACTGGCACGCATCGTCCTGCAGGGAAGGTTTAGGTATTCAGAATACAACTGGTGTTCAAAACTGTGCGAGTCCTCTTCATTTCCTGTGACAGTTTTTAAAAAGTAGGTATCTAACAATTTAAGGAACAAGTGTCCTTTGGACTAAACCTTAATTCTCAGCAAGAGGAAAGCAGATTAAAACCAGCAGGTATATACACACTAGCTGTATATTCACACACGTTATGTAAAAGCAGCTTTAAATGCCCTTCTCACTTTGCAAGTCTATGAAATGTACATTGTCTTTATGCAACCTGTTTCCTACAAGGCCCTCACTAGAAGAGGAATTTGCTGCCTTTTCTTTGAAGAAAAGATTTTGCATGAATTTTTCGTCCTTTTTTTGGCTTTTTTTTTTTTCTTTTTCTTTTTTTTTTTTTTTTAAACACACTGTCCCGATAGTTATTCTGTTTCACAGGAGACTGGCCAGGCTGGTGGTGGGTCCGTTCTGTGCCTGGAACTGTACAGGAGGTGGTCCATCTGTCCACTGAAAGATAACAAACAGCATGAAAATCCTACAGCCGCTGCCTGGGGAGGGCAGGAATGGCGGTGAGGCCCGAGGAAGGAGCTCGCCGTACAGTCGTTGAGGTAATTAAAGATTGCATCACGAGAGGCTGCGTATCAGGTTTGACTTTGTTTTACATGCGTGGAACTCCCGTCCCTGGAACTGTTTCTTTTCGTAGCCACTCCGCATGCCCGTCATTCCAAACCTAGCTGACTCCCGTGCCGAATCCCGGGTGAAAGCCAAGCGAGTGGAAGCGTTTCCTGCTCTTACAGGTAAGCGTCCAAACGCGGGAAACCCGGACTTATGCAAATGCGGGCCCTGCCTGCAGACGCATCTGCCCGAGCCCATCACGCACGGCAGCTTAGAGCGTGTCCAGAACAAGCAAAGCCTCTGGCTCTCACCCATTCCATTACTAAACTATTTTCCTCTCACGTTTATCAAAATCTTCCAAAATGGACACATTTAGTATCTGTTTCTTAATCCTCTTCCCCCCTCCAGATTTTATAATCTAGCCTAGATTATGCAAAAGCCAGGGGAGGCTGGAGCACTGGCTCACATCCTTGTGCCTGGCCTGCGGATGGAGGCGGGTGCCTGCCTGCCGGGGTCTCCCAACACAGGGTGCACCACACACACTTTCACTCTCACAAGTCTCGGGATCCCCTCGCGAGAAAAAACAGCAAAGAGCACCTTCCTGGTGGGCTTTTTTCCTCCCTTCTTCTCCCCCAAAGGGAACGTTGGGGAAAAAGATGTCAAGTTCACTGCATCTCACGTTCCCATTTGGACGTTATTTCAGTCCGGAACAGTAAGTTATCTTATGCCCTGGCTGAGTTGCAGCTTAGGAAACCATTCTAGATTTTTAAAACAGTGTTAAAAATGTTTCTGACAGGAAGAGCATCAATATTTAAAGTCCAAAGAACGCTGCACCTTAAGGCAATGACTACACAGCCATCAAGTGATATTTTAACTGGAAATTCAGATTGATAGATAAGTGGAAAAAAACCCTTAGGAATGCTAAAATATCAGTTCAAACTCTACTCTTAGCAGCGTACAACAAAGCATTCCCCAGAACAAGGCAGACTGGATGACCTAAACGTTAAGATTAAAACCTGTGAACACGGTACGCTCCTTTCAAAAGTAATAGTTGTCACCAAAACGAGGTGGCTGCCTGCTACGGACGCCATGTAAAACAGTTCTGGTGTACAAGAAAACACTTCTAAGAAACAAAGACATTACCCACCCAATAACCTTTATAAAAATGAACTCATTAATTGAGTCTGGCTTCCTTTTCCTGTTATCAGTCCAGCTTAAATAGAAGACTGAATTTTGGCAACTTAGGAAGTGTGCTCAGCAGAAGGAATAGTAAAGGGAAGCAAAGCACGTTGGTTTGCCTCAAAAGCACTCGTAAACGCGAGGTGAAGGTTGCTTACCGTGATTAGGTTGTGTTCTGGAAGACTGCACGCTTCAATGTGGTCCTGGAGGAGCTGCTGGGAGAAGTTCTGATGCATCTGTGCTGCCTCGTGTGCATCCATGGCGTTCCCACAGGCTTTGCTCTGGAAAGACAAGATCGTCGTGTGCTCACCCAGAAACACCTTTGCGCTTGTTCTCAGCTGAGGGCTCTCTTGGCTGTTCCCTGTATTTAACGAATCCAGGAATTTTAAACAGCCGCTACACCAGTCACATCGCTTCCGAATGAAAACCCCTTTTAGGAGACCCAGGGGCAAGCCAAAGCCTCCCCTTTCCCCATAGTATTGGCAGCGCACATTGCAGGATTTGCTGTCGTTTTAGTTTCCAACTGATTTGGTGTTATTTTAGTTTCCAACTGTTAGAAACACAACATTACAGTAGCTCTAAAAGGAGGAAGCAAACTCACTCCAGCAAAAGCCCCTCTGCAGGTCCCCTGTTGTCTTTTTAGTTTCCAGCACCATCTAGTGGGAATGGGAAAGGCTCGCCGCTTTCTCACTGCGGCTCCACGATTCAAGCAACACCAGTTTCACAAGTCAGGCAACACTTTTTCTTGGGCAAATCCTTTGCTTTTAGGGGGGCTACAGAAACCTCTGGCTTTGCATGCACCGAAAGCTGATCCTGGGGTCTTGTTTTCTGTGAGGTTTACTCACAGGTATTGGCTCAGTCAAATTCAGGACTGGCAATGTACTAAGAATCGTGTAATTTCAGGTAAAAATTACAAGAAGCGCAGCGTGGCCGGGGCTGAGACGCTGCACCCCCTATGGATGGACACATGGTTGTGTTTTGCTATTCCTCATCAAGCACCTTTTCTTCAAAAGTAGGTAATTAGTTCTATAGAGGAAGCTCTTAGGAAAAATCAAAGCAGAACGGAAACTGCCTCTTGCTGTTCCCAGGCTAGAGGATACGACCGGAGGCGACAGCAGCTGAACACGGGGCGGGTGTTCCATCTACAGCGGATTCGTTGTACCATCGGCATGTTCTGTACGTGAACTACCGCTTGGAAATGAGTAAGGAAAGTATTTCAATCGCCTGGAAGCGGTTTTGTAGCAAAGGCAACAGCAAAGCAGAAAATAAACCCGTCCCCCATCGCTCAACGTGGAGCACCATGCTTATAGTAAACACGGCAATTTAATAGAAATTGAAGCTGCGGGGTAAGTTCTTGGAAAAAGGGGAGAGTTACTGCTTTATTTTCTACTGAGAGCAAATCAATTGCAGCATTAATGTTGACGGTCTGCCAAGAAGCCAGTCAATATTTGAACAAAGCATCCTGGGGCCACGTAAGTCAGATTAAACAATATGTATGAAGTGATATAATGGTCTCTTGTACTTATTAAAGCCCATACGCAAAGCAAAGCCTAAGTGAAACTTAATCAAATGTTTACTACAATTGGAACTGCAGTCGAAGAAAAGCAGAGCAGCAGCGAGGCTACGTGGGTGCCAGCTGGAGCCCTTTCCAAAGGGTCACCAACCGGTTCAGCTGTTTATGTCCAAAACTGCCGCCCAGCAAGAGCAGGAGAAACCCAACTGCTGCCACACACCAGCTCCACGGGGATGCTGGAGCCCTCTGGGGCCGCCTCACCCCAGGTATCTCACAGCTCCCTCCACAGAAAAACCACCTGGAGCACCTGACAGCAGCGCCAGAGCTGCAGATCAGTAACTGGAAGAGCCATCCTGCACTTCTAGCGGTATTTTGTAAAGCCAGGCAGCCCCTCGGCGAGTGCCAGCATCGGCATACAGCCCCACGCTC